CAAACAAACAAAAAAGAAAGAAAAAATCATAGACTAATTTCTTCTGAGCATAAATGCAAAAATCTTCAACAATATATTAGCAAGTCAAATCCAGCCATTAAAGAGATTTTATTCCAAATATACCAGGGGAGATTAACACTAAAGAATCAATCAGTGTTTTCAGGAAAAAAAAATATATATATTATTTTTCAGAATATATTATATATGTATATATATAATATATTCTGAAAAAAATTTTTACAAAATTCAGTGCCAATTCATATTTTTTAGAAAGTAGCAAGTTTGAACTCTGGATGGCAGGGTGTCCGTGTAGGTTCATGCTTGTAATGGACCACCAAGGAGCAGAAAGTTGATAGCAGGCAAGTTTTTTTTATGTATGGGGACAAGGGGTAAATCAGAATTTACTGTCCCTTCAGTTTTTCTGTGAACATAAGATTGCTCTTAATAATAAAGGCTATTAATTTTTGAAAAACTTAAATGGCAAAGGTGATTAAATTTTATGTTGTGTGCATCTTATCACAATTTTTAAAACCTAGCAAACCAAGAAGACAAAAGAATTTCCTTAATTTGATAAATTATTTTAAAAAATAATTTAAAAATTAATTAATTTAAAAAAAACTGCAGCAAATATCATACTTAATGATAATATTCTCCCTGAGATGAGAAATAGAGCAGATACTTGGATTGCTATTCCTCTTTCTTTTTCTTTTCTTTTTGGTGCTAAGAATTGAACCCAGGGCTTTACCACTAAGCCACTTCCCAGGCCTTTTTGTTCTTGATTTTGAGACAGGTCCTCACTGAGTTGCTGAGATTGGCCTCAAACTCGAGATTCTTCTGTCTCAGTCTCCTGTGTTGCAGGGTTTACAGGTGTGCACCACCTCGTCTGGCTATTCATTTTATTCTTAAAAGCTCATACAGTGAGTACTAAGTGCTTTTACCACAAAAATGATAATGTGAAGCAATACATATATTAATTAGCTAGTCTTAACCATCTCATAATGTATATAGCATATACTTCAAAACATCACTCTGTTCATGCCTCCCTAGGATTATAGGCATGTGCCACCACACCAGGCATCGATCCTCTTTAATATTGCATTGAAGATCTTAACCTGTGGGGAAAATAAGAAAAAATAAACAAAATTAAAGGATAATAGAAATAAAGAAAAGTATCTCTGAATGGGGTAGTGCACACCTGTGATCCCAGCTACTCAGGAGGCTGAGGCAGGAGGGTTGCAAGTTTAAAGATAACCCAGGCAATTAGCAAGACCTCTTTCAAAATAAAAAGGGTGGTAGATGTAGCTCAGTGGTAGAGGGCCCCTGAGTTCAATCACCAGTACTAGAAACAGAGTTAAAAAAAGAAAGGAGAGAAGAGGAAAGGACAGGACAGGAAGGGAGAGAAGAGAGGAGTCTTCAAACATGTTCTTCAAACATGACATAATGGATACTTTGAAATTCCAAAAGAATCAGTAAACTAGGGCTGGGGATATAGCTCAATTGGTCAGGTGCTTGCCTTGCATACACAAGGCCCTGGATTCAATCCCCAGCACCACACAAACACACACACACACACACACACACACACACACACACACACAAAATCAATAAGTTAATATATTAATAAGTGAATTTAGTAAAGTTGCTGGATACAAGGTCAATATGAAAATTAGTTTTATTTCTATATACCAGGAGTAAAGAGAAAGCAAAATATAGAATTGATGCCCTAGACTATAGTCACAAAAATACTTAGGAATAAAATTGATAAAACATGCACAAGGATTGATACACTGCAAATGTTACTGATACTAAAGAAGGCCCAAATGAATGAAGAGATACAGAATGTTCATGGGTTAGAAGGTGTGTTATCATTTAAATCTCAGTTACCCCTAAAATAATCCAGAGATGCAACTCAACCCCAAGCAACATCCCGGAAGCTCGATCTCATTCTCTTTTTCCTTTTTCCCTTCTTTCTTTTCTCGGACATTGACAAGCTGATTATAAAATTCATTAGGAAACACAAAGAGCCAAAAATAACCAAAGTGATCTTGAAAAAGGAAAGCAAAACTAGGAGACACAGCAGGTATCAAGGCTGACTGCAAAGCCAGTTGGGGAGGGAGAGGTTAAGGAGGTAAATATTCTATGATTCCATTGAGATTAAGTACAAAAACAGAAAAAAATTAATCTAAGTTATTAGAAATAAGGATAACATTTTTCCTTAGAAGAAAGACAGTGTGTCAAGGAATAATTAAGGAGCTCTAAGGGAGCTTGTGACCTGGGTTTTGACTGCATAGGTTGTTCTGTTAATGAAAATCCATTGAGCTATATATTTATGATATATCCATTTATTTCATCAGAATTTAATGAAAGTACATAGCAGTTAAATCTAGCAATTCTCCATGTAGAAATTTAGTTTGTACTTAGATATGAGGTGTGGGGGGGATATTTGCTGCAATTTATTTGTAATAAAACAAATTGAACAAAACCTCAAAGTGCATTGATTGAAAAACAGTCACATGCATTGTGTACTTTTGTAATGTGGAGTATATAGTGCATGCATTAAAAAACCGAGTCACATCAGCATCTAATGCCAGGAAAACAGAACCCTGATATTCTTTTACAAATTGCAAAATAGTATAAGAATATAGTCCCTTTCATTAAAAGAAAAAAATCCCTCCAAAAAATCTACATAAACCATACAAAGTATCTGTAGCTAAAATTCTATGGAAATACAGATTTATACCTACTTTGAAGGGATACCAGTTAAATGGGTACTTGACCATTACTAAGGTGATCATTGAAAGTTTGGAGTGATTGAGTAGAAAAACCACTGGCCTGGAAAACTAAAAATGAGCATTTATTTTCTTATCATTTTCTCTTAATGTTTGCTTCAATCAAATATGTAAAGGGTGTCTTATTAATAAAACGGCACATTTCCTGAGATGCATACACAAAGAGAATTGTGTAATCATCTTGTACTTCTTAGAAATAAGAGCCCTTCCTATAAATAAAAAACCTAATCTCTATTGATGAGAAGGCAGAAAATTGTTGATTCTGCAAGAAGAGAGACTCTAAGTTCAGGCTTCCTGGCTCTGATTAGTTAAACGTCAGCAATTCCCTCAACCTTTGTCTGGTAGATGAGGTAGGATCCTATAGAGGAAATGGTAGCCCAGGAGCTGCCACGGGCTCTTGCATACAATGACCGGGCTGGGAAAAGATGGTAATGATGAGAAGTGTAAATAATAATTATCATCAACATCGTCAAAGCTAAAATACAGTGCTGTACTATGTGCTAGACACTTTTCTAAGCATTTTATATATGCTAACTCTAATCCTTGCCACAATACTATAAAGGCCAGTATTATTAATATCACATAAATAAGCAGGCACAGAGAAGTTAAGCGGCTGCCAAGGTGCAGCTTGTTTCCAAACACAGCCATCTGGGCACCCAAATCCCTGGTGTTAACTACCAGTCCCTTGACTAGTATTAGTCAATGATATTTGAGGGTCCAGTATGGGGTGGGCACTTTCTAAGGCACTGGGTGAGCTCAGTGGCCTGCTTTCTCCCACCCTCCAGTCTCTTCCCCACATAGCAGCCACAGAGGTCTTTGATTTAATTTTGTTTCTTTTGTGGCACGTGCTGGGCAAGTGCTCTCTCTACCACTGAGCTATGCCTGCAGCCCCAGCGTGACCCCTGGGTTTTCTTTTTGTTTGTCATACAGGGGATGGAACCCAAGGTCACCTTACCACTGAGCTATATCCCCAGCCCTTTTTTATTTTATTTTTAATTTTGACACACGGTTTCACTAAGATGAGGAAGCAGATGAGGTTCACAGATCACTCTGCACTGGGGATAGGAGACATTGGGGCAAGTTTCTCAGTTTCTGAGGCTGGCCTCAAACTTACAATCTTGCTGCCTCAGCCTCCCAATTTGCTGGGACGACAGGGGTACGCCACTGTGCCCAGCCCAGAGTGATCTTTTTAAAATCCTAAATCAGATCTTGTCACACTACTGCTTAAAATGACTTCGCTGGCTTCCCGCTGCAATGCTGGAGTCGATAGCAACATCCAGCCCTGCACCTGACTGAGGGAGACCTACGTGATCTGGTGCTCCCTCACTCGGTTTCCCACCCCACTGTCTTCCCTCCTGTGTCTGGAAAGCTTGAGCTTATCTCAAGAACTTCCCTTTTGCTTTGCCCACAATGGCTCTCTCCAGCTCCTCCTCACCAGGCTGCTGTCCATCCTGTGAGCCTCGGCTGAAACCCCACTTTCTTCCTGAGGCTCCTCTGTCCATTCTGTTTGCAGTGGAGGCTGCCCTGTAACTCCCTGTCTCCTCATCTCGTTTAGTGCATTTACTGAGCTCCTCTCCACGTGTCACTCCCCTGTTGTCCACTAGCTTATTGTTTCTCCTCACTTGCCTCCCGCAGCTCCAGAAGGGCAGGAGTCCTGTCTGCCTTACACACACCACAGCTCCTACAGCACGCCTGGCCCATGGCAGGTGCCCACAGCACACATGTTGCCTGCAGGGCCAGTCCCAGCCTTGAAGATGCTTCCAGGGTAGTGCAGCCCCCAAGGTCATGACCAGCTTCCATCCACTGGCCTTGTTCTATGGGACTCCATGCTTTAAGTTCACAGATGAGGGAGCAGATCACTCAGCAATGGGGGTAAGGGGACTTTGGGGCAAGTTTCTCAGAAAAGGGGGTTTTTCTCAAAGAAAAAGTGGGAGCCTCCAGGGAGAAAAAGAAGAAAGGGCTATTCAGGAAAAGGAAACTGTGAAGAGCGCCAGGGTGTGAGGGGCATTCTGGGCAGTGGGAACCAAGTACAGGAGCAAAGGCTGTGTGTGAAGTTCAGGCTCCCTGTGTTTTGTGTGCCTCGGTGATGGATGTTATTAACATCTAAGCCCCCTGCGTGGGTGAAACAGAGTGCAGTTAAGAGCTACATCTAACCCGTTTCAACCAAATGAAGCTCCTGCAGCTCGTTAAAGCAGCACTGTTTCCTTGCAGGTTCCCCGAGCTCCACTCTTCCGCCTCTCTCTGCACCCTTTTGCCATGTTAACAGCACCCAAAGCAGCAGAGTATGCCCGCAAACAGAGTAAGCTTGTTTATTTCCATCTGTTTCGAGAAATTTTAAATAAAATAGGATGTGGGCTCACAAACAAAGGTTAAAATTGACATGGTAACTCAGTTTCTAATTGAATTAAAAAGAACGGGGAACTTGAAGGACTTGATTCCCACATACCCCCACTCCCGTGACCCAAATCACAAGGTCTTATCTGTCAGACCTTTGGTGGTGGGAGCGAAGTGGTCCAGAGGGGAAGATCTGAAACTGTGGGGGATATATTATTTTTTTTTAGGTTTTATATACAGATGCGGTTACTCTCTGTGCCTGCAGATATCAAGTTAAGAAGGGGAGCAATGAATAAGAATGCCACCACCAGCAGCTCTACAGAGGAAGCAAACGCCACAAAGTGGAAGTCATCAAAGCGTTTTTCGTGCACATCACCAAAGAACACAGTAGGTCTAAAAACAATGAATTGGACCAAGCTGAGACCAAGTATTTGGGGAGAACTCTGCTTATATTGTGATTAAATGTTGAACCTTTGGAGTCAGATGCTCTGGATTTGAATCTAGAGCCTGCTGCTTACCAGCCGTATGACTTCAGAAAAGTACTTAACCTCTCTGTGCACTAGCTTCTTTCTCTGCAAAATGGGAAGAATAATGGTATCTATCTCTTTAAAGTTGTTGAGATGACTAACTAAAGATTCTAGATAGTAAAAGATTAGAAGAGTGTTTGGCAGTTAACTCTAAATAAATACTAGCCATAATTATCTTTTCAGCATTTGAAAAATACTATTTGCACCAGGCACAGGGGTGTACTCCTGTAATCCCAGCAACTTGTGGGGGCTGAGCCAGGAGGATTGCAAATTCAAAGCCAGCCTCAGCAACTCAGCAAGACCCTGTCTCAAAACAAAAATTAAAAAAAGGCTGGAGACGTGACTCAGTGGTTGAACGCCCCTAGATCCAATCCTGGTGCCAAAAGAAAAGAAGAAAATATTATTTGCAAGTTAATTGGCCATTATTCTTAAATCAAATAAGTATATGAAAGAGGTTTATTTTATTCCTTATGAGAATTTTATCTCTTCCTGCTTGGCATCTCCCCTGCTCTTGCCCTGTCCATTGAATTTCCCATTTTTATGTTGCAGAATCAGAATGGTCATGTACAGGGCTGGAGGGAATAGAAAAAAGCCGTTCTTTTTCTTCCTATTCTGAGTTCTCAATTATAATGTGCACAGTGAACACAGTTCAAAAAGAAGTCAGAGAGATCAAGGTGGCCAACATAATACAAGACAATAGGGGAGAGAATCAGAGAAGTGAGAAAGGCTGGGATATTTTAGGGGTCTAAGGCAGAAAAGAGAGAAGGGAATTTTGAAAATTGTACATTGAGATATGAATGGGTTTGTTTAAGAAGCATAAGTTTAGGGCTGGGGTCATGGCTCAGTGGTAAAGCACTTGCCTAGCATGTGTGAGGCACTGGGTTCGATCCTCAGCACTGCATATAAAAAATAAAGGTCCACCAATAACAACAATAAAAAGGTTTAAGGAAAAAAAAGAAGCATAAGTTTAAACTTCATATGCATTTTTATTTAGTTCAGTTGCTGAAATGAGAATTTCAAAAATATAATATGCACAGTGAATACAAGTTCAAAAAGTGAACTTGTTTAAAAAGAATTTTAAAATGTGACTCTCTTAATCAACTGAGCCACATGGGGCTCAGTATTTCTTTAGATTCTGGAGGCAAACTATTGATTGATTAGAAACTTAACTTCATCATAGAAATTGCTTTAGGAACTGTCTGGATTCTTTAGCCACGTTAGGACTTTAATAAACATTATTCTAAAAATAGAATAATTGCACTATGGAAAAATCATCACCATATTGAGTTTTGTTCTGAAGGTATTTGCTAGGATGAGATTTGAGAGTCTAGGTTTTCTAGAACCATATCTTTGCTTCTGAAGAATTTTTTAAAGTCAAATGAGGTCATTTTCTTACATGATTTTGGAGACAGCAAGCTGAAGAAAGCAAAACAAGGCAAGAAACAAAAACCAGTGAGAACTCTAGAAATAGCACACACAAACACCCTGCATGAACAAAATCATAGACTGATAATCCAGACTAATCTTGTACTGTCATGTGTAACTAATTAAAACAAATAAAAAATTAAAAAAAAAACAGATCCTAAAACAGGGATTCATATACTTGTTTGGATCATATATGGATCCTGTGTAATGAGAATGTAATTCTGAAGATTAATTCAGTGGTATTTTGTTTGATTTGGTACTGGAGATCAGACCAGTGCTTAACCACTGAGCCACATCCCCAGCCCTTTAAGGTCTCACTAAGTTGCTGAGGCTGGCCTTGAACTTGTGATCCTTCACTTCATCCTCCCTAGTCCCTGGGATTACAGACATGCACCACTATGTCAGGCTCATGTTATTTTGAAAATATAGTTTCATTCCATATATTTTCTTCTACAACTGCCACCTTAGGAATTTTCAGAGAGAGGGACCTTGACTAGGAATAAGCAGGTGCTTGGCATACATGACAGAAAAGAATTTCAGAACATGCCAGTCAGAGACAAAGATTTGCTTAGGAAAGGAGATATGCATTCAAGGGAGAATGTGGTTATCTAAAAAGAAAGACATCTTTTGGGGTGAAGTAAGAAATACACATTCGAGGGAGAATGTGAGCCATCTTCAGAGAGATGGTCATGAATGACACAAGACAGAGAGGGAACACTTAAGTTTAAATTCAAAGCAATAGACGCAAAGTTAAAAATAATATACTCCAAGCACAATACATAAAAACTGCTAAGAAACTAAAAATGATTTGCTGTGGGTAGGGTTTGTTAAAAGAAGTACAACTTTTCTTTCTTTATTAATTTATACTTTGAAATAATTTCAAGCTTACAGAAAAGTTGCAAGCATAACTCAAGGAACCCATACATACCTTTTACCCAGATTCATCAATTGTTAATACTTTATTTCATTTGCTTTGCCATTTTCTGTCTCTTACCTCTATATGTATATAGTTACAAATGTATAATCTTTCCTTAGCCCTTAGAAGTTATACATAGCCTATCACTTTGCCCAAGAATATATCAGTTTGTATATCTTAAGAACAAAATCTATCTCTTACACAACCATGATCAATTTCAGAATATCTAACACTGATACTTTTAATCTATGTAGAAATTTTGTTGACAGACCTAATAATCTGTTTGTAAGCATGTTTTTCATTCTGCACAGGATCCAGTGTGAGATCACATATTGTATTTTGAGAAATGTAACTAATTTCCAAATCTATGAGAACAGTTCCCTGGAAATTCTTTTATACCTACATGTAGCTACTACATCTTTGTTAGTAAATTAATATCTGATATTTGACCTGAACTTGCTATAGATTGGTGTTATTTGTGTGCATGTTCTATTGATGTGCTTGATACCAAAATCATCCTTTTATTCTGCAGGTCACTTAGAAACTTGAACTTCATAATAGAGCCTCTGGGAGCAAACAAGAAACATCATCTTAAAATTGCATCTCTTGCTGGCACATTTTTCTTTACAGTTGGCTTTTGACTCAGACTGTGCTGAAAGTTATTATTGAGATTGAGTTTCTTCTCTTAGAAGCATATTGCACAGCTACATTTTGGTAAAAGACAAAAATGTGTGTATCTTATGCTACTTCATTATGACTAAAAGACTTGGACAATTCAGAGTACCTAATATTTCTATGTCAGGCTGGCTTTGTAGCACATTTTACAAATATGTAGTATTGAGTATTACACAGTAGTACAGTAGGAGGCAGTTTTCCTAAGTTTTAATTCAAAATAAAATTAATCTATCCTTGAATGACTTAGCTATGTCCTAAAATGAAAAATATTTAAAATTACATCAATATAGTTTTTTGTTTGTCTGTCTGTTTTGGTATTGGGGATTGAACCCAGGACCACTTTATCTCTGAGCTGCATCTTTGAATTTTGATTTTTTTGTTTTTAATTTTGAAACAGGGTCTCACTAACACACTTAGGGTCTGGCTAAGTTGCTGAGGCTGGCCTCAAACTTGCAATCCTCCTGCCTCAGCTTCCAGAGTCACTAGGATTACAGGCATGTGCCATCACATTCAGCTTCTCATCAACATAGTTTTAAAAGAAAAATGGATGCAAGTTTTCTCTCAGTAGAATATAAGAACTACTAGGAAAAGAAAATGTTCTGTTCTTTCAGTACTTTTTCAAAATGCCGACTAGGCACATGGTTTAGCCTGTCGAGATTTGTAATGACAGTTGGATCAAATGAATATCAGTACAGATCGTACCTTTCTCAAGGTTTGGGTATGCCAACTTTCTGAAGAATAGTTTCCTTAACATGTGCAAAAGCACGTGTGGGGTTTTTTGACTGAAAATGGTGATGTTTCCATGTGGGCTTGTGGCTGGGGCGTCCAAACCAGCCTTTGCACACTGGATCTGATTGTAGTTGTTTTTGAGATTTACCAGGAGACTTGCAACATTAGGAGGGAGAAAGGAGTGGGAATTGGCAACCTGTGGTCACTGTAGACACTGTCAGGGGACTAGCTCAGGACTTTGTACAGATTTTTTTTTTTAAATCTAGCTCTGCTAGTTATGAGAAAAGATCTTTTCTTTGTGGCTATTTCTGTCTCTCCTTTTGCCATCTGCATACTGGCTGTAAGTGTTGCCTGAGGGTTTTTGCAAATAGCATTGTGAATGTGCTGCTAGCCATAGTTAGATATCTTTCTGGAGTCCCTCCATTGGTCTGAAGCACAAAGGTGTTTGATTTCATCACACCACATACACAGGGGATGGGATGACAAAGGACCACCTGAGGTTTGGAGCATCCCCAATCCCTGCATATCTGAGGAGTGCTTCCAAACATGTCAATTGGCAGCAATGGAGAAAGCTCTTCAGGCAGTCAACTGGACTCAATGAAACAGTAACACAAGCAAATCAAAACATGAATTTTAAAAACAACAAGCAACCCTAGAAGAAGGGTGGTGACAGAAGGGGAGTGAAAAGATCATGAGTATTGTCCTGCTCTTTGAGTGTCTCAGACTCTTGGGAGATAGCTTTATTTTTAGCTTGAGAAGTGTTTATTCTCATGACAAAACATGTCTATTTCCAAAAGTGCTTTTCACCATTAACTCAAATTCATACATTTAAAAATTAATGTGACTGTTTTTATCACATGAAACTGCAATATATGTTTATGATAGAAACTAAGGAAATAGAAAGCAGCAAAAGAAATAAAAACATAAAACTAAGACCTAAAATCTTTCCATTCATCGATAACCATGATTGACATCTTAGTAGATACACAGTTCTAATCTTTTTATCCTAAACATGCTAAAGTTTTTAAAAAATCAAAACCATATTATGCTGATGAAGAAATGCAATTGTCTTTTGATTAACGGATATTTTAAGATCTTTTGTTTCCCCTTTGCACTTCAAGTCCTTCTGGAGTTCGTATGATTTCCGGTGAGCTCCCTCGGATGGAACCACCGACCCTCGTCTCAGCAGTTTCTATAGGCAAACTGCAAAATGCTGGGCATGTCATGTATTTCTAGAGAGCTGCATAGGATGAGAAGTGCGCCCTTTGTCTCCAAGGTCATAATGGCTCTGCTGACTTTAATTCCTTTCACTGGAGCTAGTGAGGACGACTCGAAAATGCCAGAGAGAATGAGAGCCCCCTGCCCCATGATCCCAAATGAAAAACAGAGAGAACACAGAAATCCCCTTACGCTTTACCTCCACGTCGCTTTTGTGTGGTTCTTGCCAACACAGCAGCCATCCTGCTATATATATATATCAGCTACCACACTTGTCCCCATCACACTGGACGCCGATCATCCGCTCTCCACAACCATGGGGAAGGTGAGCCAATCCAAGTGCCATATGTGACTATCAAGTGTCTACTCTGTGGGGGATGTTCCTCCAGGCTGACCATGTGCTGTCACCTTTTTCCTACTGCAGATCATATTCTACGAGGACCGGGGCTTCCAGGGCCGCTGCTACGAGTGCAGCAGCGACTGCCCCAACCTGCAGACCTACTTCAGCCGCTGCAACTCCATCCGCGTGGACAGCGGCTGCTGGATGCTCTATGAGCAGCCCAACTACCAGGGCTACCAGTACTTCCTGCGGCGGGGGGACTACCCCTCCTACCAGCAGTGGATGGGCTTCAATGACTCCATCCGCTCCTGCCGCGTGATTCCTTATGTGAGTCTTGCTTCCACCTGACTGATGTGAGAGGTCAGCTCCTGTCAGTTGTTTGTTCCTAAAAGTGTACTAGAGCTCACTGTAAAGACAGCAAGATCCTACCTTCAAAAAAAAAAAAAATATATATATATATAAATAAAATTGATTTCCATTTATATATATATATATCCTGTAATCTATATTTTTCTTCCTTAAGGACCTCAACATTACTTTGGAGCATAAGAAATTATGACCTTTAAAAATAAAATTGGCTGAATAGAGATATAGGACATCCATCCATAAAAAGAAGGAAATTCTGTCATGTGTAAAGACATGGATAAACCTAGAGGACCTTATGTTAAATGAAATAAACCAGACACAGAAAAACAAATGCCTGTAATCTCACTCTGAAGTGAAATCTTAAAACGTTGATCTCATAGAAAGGAGAATGGTGATACTAGAAGCTAGGGCAGTTGGTAACGAGGGAAGGTTTGGGGACACGTTGTTCCAAGGATGTATAATCATAATAATCACAGGTAGGAAGAATAAGTCCAGAAATCTATTGTACACTTGATGATTACAGTTGATGATTATATATTGCATTCTCTTTTTTTTTTTTTCTCACTAGGGATTGAACCCAGGAGCACTTTACCACTGAACTACATCACAGCTCTTCTAATTTTTTATTTTGAGGCAGGGTCTTCCTAAGTTGCTTAGGGAATCGAACTTGCAATCCTCCTGCCTCTGCCTCCCATGTTGCCGGGATTACAGGCATGCGCCATCATGCCCAACTATATATTGTCTTCTTAAGTGCTAAGACAGTGGATGTTAAGTGCTTTCACCACAAAAATGATAACCATGTGTCGATACCCATATGTATTAGCTAGCTTTAACCACTCCACAATGTATACAGTATACGCTTAAAAGCATCACGTCGTGCATGATAAATATTACAAATTTACCTGTCAATTCAAAACTAAATAAACTTTTAAAATAAATTTAAAGTTGAAAGCATCTAGACAATCTCTAATTTAAAAAAAAATCATCTTGCTCAGTCAAGAAAAAAGCCCACACAGGTAATTCTTTTTTAATGATAAAAAGTTAACCACCCATGCAAGAGCAATGTAGGTAGAACATCTCTGATTGTACCACTGGTTCTCTTCACTACCCTCCATGACACACTGATCCAGAACCTAGAACACTGTGTTTCGGCACCTGTGGCTTTCAAGTGATCATCATCAAGTAGTTTCTTAAAATGAAAGAGACAGATAATTGATTAGAATTTCATGGGTCTTGGTTCTCACCAAAGTGCTGCTTCATGTTTCTTAGTCACATGAAACATGTTTATACTTTGTGATGTCACCAAAAATCATGTGGCATGGCAAAGAGATTCAAGAATAGAAAGAGGCCCTGGGTTCAATTCCCAGTGCTACCAATAAACAAACAAACAAACAAAAGAACAAATAAATAAATAAAATTTAATCTAGAAAATTTTTCAGATGCACAAAGAGATAAAAATAAGCAGAAACCCAAATTGTACAAATCACTTGGCCAAATATCCTTTGAAGAGACGTGAGGACAACAGTAAATAGGAATCACTGTATATCATGAGTGCAAGATGGAACCTTAAAACAAGCTGGATAGGTCACAGTTCTATGGGGCTGAAATGCAAATGGGAGTTAAAATTCTATCTGCAGACACATTGATCAGGGCTGTGAAGAGTGGCTACTTAGGAGAGTGGCTACTTACAAGGGAAAAACACTACTATTCCCTGTGTTTCAATGCTAGTTTTTGTTTTGTTTTATTTTGTGGTGCTAGGGATTGAACCCAGGGGTTTAGTGCATGCCTAAACTGAGCTAAATCCTCAGCCCTCAATGCTAGTTTCTTCTGCAAGATCTCCAGTTCACTGGTCAGGTCAGCTTTATTTTAATACTCTTCCTAATTTGTTAGAACAATAACACAAGGAGTAGGATTAGGGAGAAACTTTTTAGAGGGTTGTCGGAAAAGCTCATTTCATGAAAATAAAAGGCTGACTGTGTCAGTATTGTTTGTACCACACATATGTGCCGTTCATTTTTGTTCTTTTGTTGATTATCACAACAGACCAGCTTGCACAGGATAAGGTTGTATGAGAGAAGTGACTACAGAGGCCTGGTGTCTGAGCTCACAGAAGACTGCTCCTGTATCCACAATCGCTACCATCTCAACAAGATCTACTCCGTCCATGTGTTGGAGGGCTGCTGGGTCCTCTACAAGATGCCCAACTACAGGGGGCAGCAGTACCTGCTCAGGCCAGGAGACTACAGGTGCTACCACGACTGGGGCACAATGGACGCCAAAGTCGGTTCTCTGCATTTGTATGAAGCAGTGCTTTTCTTTATGATCCACATAGAGATGCAATAAATAAACAAACTTTTTTTTCTGGCATTAAGTGGCTCTTGCTTATCATTAAGTAATAATTGAATTGTAAATACTCGGTGGCTCCTAGACAACTTACCTGACCCTGAAAGGTGTTTTGAATATCCACTTAATTCCTGTTGGTCAGGCATACATTCCTGTCTGGGGAGAAGGCAGGTTGTTCCCACCTTCCTACAGTCTGAAGGAGAGAGGAAAGATTAATATAATGAACAACTATTAGAACCCACAGAGAGAAGAAAATGCATAATCTACTGTGGCTGGCACACCAAACACAAGAGATTGCTGGAGGGCAAGGGTGGCTGATGTCTCAGACAAGACTAGTCAAGAAAAGATGAATAAAGAGAGGGTTTTAAGTAGAATTTCCCAAAGCAGAGAAGGGCAAGACTACCTGATTAGATCATCATACTAAGAAAAGTGCTAAACAAGAATTAAATAGCCTAGTTTCTTATGCAGTCTCTACTACTCATTAGAGTGACCAACTCAGCCCAGTTTCCCTGGGACTCTCCCAGTTTAAGTGCCAAAGGTCTTTGGACCCTTAGTTTCAGGGAGACCACTGTGATTAGTTACCCTACTTTCTAGCTTATCCCTTTGAGCAAGTCGCTTCTTATCTGCTTTGTGTCTAATTTCACCTTATGTAAAATAACAACTGATAATAAATGCCCACTTCACTAAATCCCCAAATGGGAAAAGATTGTGAATACAATTTAAATTATCATATCAGTGCAAATGTAAGGAATCCATATGTCCTTAGTGTTCCCTCAAATTCAACAGCACCATATGGTTATCATTAGTTTGCATGCCACTGTGAATTTGTATTGAGATGCAATTATCAAAGACTCAGTTGTACAGCATAAGGTTTAAATATGTGCTACTGTGCCTGTCATGGAATTTCTTCTCACTCAGTAGAGCAGCTCTCCTGGAATATTTCCAAGTCATATATCTGATCAGATTCTACAGTTGAGAATATATAAATTTTGCAAATTTATATAAGCAAAATTAATGCTCCATCCCTATTGACTTCTTTGTAGAAATTGATAAGTTCTGATTCTAAAATCCATATAGAATTGTAAGTGATCCAGAATAGCCAAAACAATCTTGAGAAAGGACAAAATAAGAAAAAAAAAAGGAAGTGTTCACATTTCCCAGTTTCAAAACTTACCACAAAACAATGGTAATAAAAGCGTGAGGTGCTAGCATAAGGACACACTATAGATAAATGGAAAGAATTGAGAATCCAGAAGTAAACCCAGGTCCAACTGAATTTTGCCAAAATGTGAAGACCATTCATGGAGAAGGAAGAGTCTTTTCCACAAGTGGTGCTTGGACAACTCTACGTCTCACATGCAAAAACAAATGAATCTGGATATCTTACTAAAAATGAACTCCAAAGGGAGTAAAGACTTTAAGGGTTAGAACTCAAACTATAAAATTCTTAGAAGAAAACATATGCATAAATCTTTGTGACCTTTTATTAAACATTGATTTCTTAAATATGACACTAAAACAATTTGCAATGAAAGAAAAAACTTGAACTTCATCAAAATTTAAAAATTTTATGCACCAAAAAACACTATCAAGAAAGTAAATTAGGTAGAGGGAAGTGCAGGCAAGGGAGGGGATGTGGGAACAGGAAGGATAGTAGAATGAAACAAACATTATTTCTGTATGTATATATGTGACAGCATGACCAAAATGAATATACAACATGTCCACTCAGAAAAATGAGAAATTATATCCCATTTATGTATGATATATTAAAGTGCATAAACACATTCTACTGTCATGCGTAACTAATTAAAACAAATAAAAAATTTTAAAAAATAAAGAAAGAAGGTAAAAAGATAGCTCACAGAATGTGAGAAAATATTTCCAAGTCATATATCTGATCAGATTCTAAAGTTGAGAATATATAAAGGACTTTTACAACTCAACAACAAAACTAGAATGACCCAATTTAAAAACGGGCCAAGTATTTGAATATACATTTTCCCAAAGAAGATATATAAATAGCCAACAAACAAATGAAAAAATGCTCAAAATCATTAGTTATTAGGGAAAAAGCTAATCAAAACTACAATGGGATACTACTTAATGTCTATCAGGGTGTCTATAATGATCTTTTTAAATCTTCAAAACAGAAAATACCTAGTGTTGGTGATAATGTGGAAAAATTGGAAACTTCATAAATCATAAATGTGGGAATGTAAAATGGTACAGTCTCCATGGAAAATGATTTGGAAGTTTCTCAAAAAGTTAAACTTACAGTTATCTTATGACCCAGCAATTCTACCCTGGTATATAACCAAAGGAATTGAAAATAGATATTCAAACAAAAATTTATGGCATAAGTCCTCACAGTGGCACAATTCACAATAACCAAAAGATGGCAACAACACAAATATCCAAATATCAATGGATTTTTATATAAACAAAATGTGATAAATATATAAAATGAAATATTATTTGGCCATAAAAAGGAATGTAGCATTAACATATGCTACAATATAAATGGACCTGGAAAACATTATGTTGAGTTTAAAAAGCAAGACCATATATTATGCATAATAATATAAGACCATAATATAAGACCATAATATAAGACCATAATATAAGACCATATATTATGCAATTCCATTTATAGGAAATACTCATGGCAAGCAGATCTACAGAGATAACAGGTAGATCAATAGTTCCTGAACTCTATTTTAACAAAAAAGAAAACCTAGGTACCATGTTTCACTGAAAATAATTTGATTAACTTCAAGTTTTGTTTTAATCTGGCTGAATGAAAGATTTAGAAAACTGCATTTTATCTGATAAAACTCAGTAGGCCACATGTCTCCTCCTCTATAAAAGGAGGGGTTTGGACAAGATAAGTTCTAGTTTTCCTTCCAACTCCAACACTTCAGACTCCATTCAGTTTTGAGGGGAGTTATGCCAATGGTTCAAGGTGGGCTTTGAAGCCCACAAACTTGGTTTTGGGCTTGACCACCTAGAGGATGTATGGACTTGAGCAAGTTATTTATCCTCCCTAGCCCCAGTTTTTCTACTTTCATCTTCCCATGAGGAATAAATGAAATACCCCTGTAAATGCTAGCATGCAGTGGAGGCTTAGTATGTTGGAGTTATAACTCCATTGGTTTTGCTAAAGTTGTGCTGTGTACATGGACATGCTGTATACACGGATGTTGTAAGGACAAACATCAGAGTAAATGAGTCTTTTTCCAGAATATTTCTCTACTTTAAAAGGGATTTGAAATTCTCAGTGTCCTTTTGACAGTTACCTATTACTGCTGTCTTAGTAATAGGTAACTGTCAAATGGATGAAACAAGAATTACAGAGCCCTTTACAACTGGTTAAATGCTGAGATCTTACAGTGAGCCTGAAGAAATCAATCGGTTGGTCAAAATGCTGAAATTTACTGGAACTCCTGTAAGGACCAAGATTCTCATGATAGATAGGCTATTGGTGTGCTTGGGCTTGTGGAAATTAAAACAACAAAACAAAACATGGCATTGGACCTGATATGAGAAGTGTATAATTTAAGAAGATCTAAGATAGGCACAGTTGAAAGTATAACATCTAAAACAAGTCA